GTCTGATCATTCAGCACATTACTATTGAAGGCTGATCATTCATCGCATTACTATTGAAGTCTGATCATTCATCGCATTACTATTGAAGTCTGATCGTTCATAGTTTTACAATTGAAGTCTGATCATTCATTGTTTTAGTATCAAAGTCTGATGATCGTTCTTCGCTTTACTATTGAAGTCTGATGATCATTCATCGTGCGGTTGCAGTTTTCAGTGAGAACAAAGAGTTGTTCTTATGCTTTAAAACATTGTCCATAAACAAAATTATACAAATGTAAGAAACCTGTTGAACTTAATCTTTCATCTCATTTCTTCACTTACAATCTGATGTTTTAAATAAATACTAGGAAAATTAGAAACATGAAAGCAAAATCTTAAAAATCTGGAGTCATATAGGTCAACATAAGTAATTCAGGAATGCTGTGGTGATTGGATATGAATTATTGTCATAGATAGTGGTGTGAACAATTATTTAAGTTTTAGTTATTAATTAGCAACTACTTTTTTATATGTAACTAGCTAGTAATTATTAGTAGATGTTAGTTAAAAAAAATTAATACTAATTATATAATTTGATACTGATTTATAATTAGACTTAGGTAATTCTTTAGGCTAGTAACTATGACAACAGCCAATTTAATTGTTTCGCTAATCCGTAAAGTTTAGTGCAATTTATACATTCTGTTTTGTTTAATGTTTTACTTATTTTCTAGTGTTTTTTATTTCACTTCAATGATACATCTGTTTCCAAGATAAGATTTTAAATTTGTTTATAGATGGAGAGAAGTCCTAACATATCTTTGTTGTTTCACATCAGGGTTGTGGGTGAGTTTATTTAATTTTTTAAAGCTGTTGATTTTATTGTACTTGAAACTAGTTAACCTGGGATATCGGATATTACTTTGTGTTATCAAGTAACTGAAAAACGGGTTTTGTTAACATATTTTTATAAGTGTTTTACACACTTGAGTAAAATCATTCAAGATAAAAGTTTGGGATTTTTTATGCTCTATTACACGTTGTTGAGAAGAAGGAGGTAAAAAAAGTTTGTGAATGTCTAGAATGTAAGTTTTACCAAAGTTCAGTATCACAATTGGTGAAAGGTACTTTCAACTCCAATCCTTATTAATCATTAATAGTGGAAATATCTTTTCATTTATTTCATGTTGTGTATTGTAATGTTTAGTTATTATGTAATGTGTGTGTGTGTAAATGTTACTGTGGGTAGATTATATGTTGGAATAGCTAAAGTAAATCGATAGGCATAATATAAATATGCACAATAAAAGATCAACAATGACAGAGTTTTACTTTAAAAGATAATTGTCACCCACTTTCATTTGTTTCTCTACCCAACAAGCCCAAAAACAAGGTAAGAAACTGTTACTAGGACACCCAACCAGAAAATGACCAAACCACCAAATTGTTCATCTTGTTGTTTTTGTTAAGATAACTGTACAACTACATTATCATTAACGTTAGTTTAAACCGTAATCCACTCTGTATGTTTTTGGGCAGTGCACAATGTATCACTTAGTTGTAATAACTAGTAGTAATTAAAAAAAATCATAATTCTAGTGTAAATGAAGTTATCATTACCCCTTGAAGTTAGCTTTCTTACAGAAATCTGGTGTTCCTTTAACTCTCTCAATATGAGCTCGGGTCAATTTGACCAACCACGTGACCTCTTTGTACTCGTTTAAAGTCTTTATAGATTTAATACTTCTAACTTTCAATATATAGTGTGTGTATCTTCACAAATTTGGCACTCTTTCAGTTTTTTCACATTTTTTTAGACCCAAATATAGCTTAGTTACTATGTTTGGTAAATTATAATAGAATTCTATGGTACTTATGTAGTAATTTATGATTTTTTAGTTATTCAAAAGTATATATATAAAACCTAAAAAAAATGATTTTGTTTCATGTCCTCCAAGTGCAAAATTTTTAAAGGCTTAGCAACCTACATCAAGCAGCAACCGACTACAAAGGTCGTAACTAGAAGAGATAATTGTTTGCTTTACTTCTTTATTTACTGTTCTATGTTTTAGGAAAAATAACTTTAAGAACTTATTTCAAAATGGAAATAATCTATATACATATATAATGTACAATAATTGAAATGTGACTGTATTTTACAAAATACTAGTCAAATAAAACACAGCCAAGACAAGTCACTTTGTACAGACCAAAGGTCACCTTTATGTTATTTGATACAGCAACATGAGTGCACGTGAGCTGCGTCATTCTAACTTCTGTATTGTTAGCCAGGCACAAGTTAAAAGACAATATAACAAAAATAAAAAACATATATAA